TTGGAAATGCTTTCTACCAGGTGTCTCTTATGAGACATACCAAAGTAAAGAGTTGATATGTTAAGTTACTCTTACTGTTCAAATATTTAAAGTACTAATTCATCACTCATGACATTAGATTTATATTTTAACACCATTATAAATGTAGCAGAGGTGAATCTTTTCACAATAATGAATAAAGTGTCTCTTGAAAGGAAAGGTGTTAACCTTGGAGAGGATCTTGCGGGATGACTCTTAAAAGGCATGGAAGCACCTGAATGCTTCTCTCGGCTGTATGTTAGATGTTCACAGAATCTGAACCCCAAGCGTGCATGGTGCAACACTTTTGCATTTGCCATATGGATATGGATGATGGGAAAGGAGCAAAACATTAGAGGAATTAAAGCTGAACTCAACACTAGTTCTAAGGTGGTTAGTGGGTACAACTTGCTGAAATGACTACATGTGGACTTACTACTAGTCTGTAGAGAGAACAATAATCTTACAGGGAGAGAAAACTTATATTATGCCCAGGCTAGAAAGGGGTTTTTAACTCTCCACTAACAATGTGTGTTTACAAGTTTTCATCCATTATAATTTTATTAGAACATCTTACTGAAACCCAGCTGTTTCAAGGGTCTTTCTGACATGTCACAAGAATCCAAGGGAGGAAATGGAGCCAATAAATGTAATCTGCAGGCAAAATTTGCAGAGGCAATTTAGAAAAAAAAAAGTAATTATCCTTCTTGAAATTTTTCCATTTTGCAAAAGTTACCACCTCACCTTTTAAAGGTTTGAAAGATTATACCAATTAGTCAAGATTTTTATTGTATATGCGTGTTCTTAGAAAATAATATTTTAACAGAATTTATCCCATGGTGTCACTCTTGGTGTCATAATCATCATTATCATTTTTAATTTTGACCAAATAAATATAAGCGCGCATATGCACGCACACACAAATGTATATAGTCTTATACACATTTGAAAGTAATTCTATTTATCCTCATTTGCCAGTTAACAAAATGTACGTAATCAGCTTTGATGAGACAGGCACAGTGCTAGAGATATCACGTAGAACATAGTCACAATCTGTGTTCACAAGGCTTTGCAAAGGTAATAGAAAGCTTTTCTAAGTAACTGAAATCCACTTAGAACCTGAGCAGTCAGTGGAATTAGGCAAAGCAGAGCAGCTTTGGAAAAATCCAGGCAGAGGAAAGAGCATGTGCAAAGGCCCTGAGGCTGGAAAGAATGGCAAGGTTTAGAGGCACATTGCAAAGAGATCTCCAAGGCTGAAGCACAGACAGTGAGGGATGACCCACAGTGAGAGAAGGCTGAAGTATGGTTCTGTGAAGCAAAGGGCGACTAAATTAGATTTACATTTCAAAAAGACTCCTCTGGCGGCTGTATGTGGCAAAATAATTGGAAGGAGCAAGAATCCAGGTAGACAACTGAACTATAGCCAAAGCAAAGAAAGGAGAAGACTTGGATTTGGGTGGTACTTAGTGAAGATAGATAAGAGGAGGCTAAAGTCAGATGACAGGACTTGGGTATGGGATGGATGCAGAAATGGTGTCAAAGATTATTGTCAGAATAGGTAATTAGTAATTGATTGATAGAAAACGGTAATATTAGAATCAGGCTTTTAATATTCATCCTATTCTATTTAAATTCTAAGCAAAACTATTTAGTGCTCACTAGATGCAAAGTGTGGTGCTGGGAATTCTAATGGCTAACAGTATGAAAGAAGTAGATTACAGAATATATAATCTCAGCCTTTTATAGTTTCACATTCAAATACAGATGTTTCTCATTCCCAATAGGGGAAAGAGAAACAATAACCACACACACACACACACACACACACACACACACACACACACACACATATATATACACATAGATAAACACAGATGTATATACACACACATGCATGTATGTCTGTATATGTGTATGTGCATTTTATACTATTTATATTTAAATTTAAGGTATTTGCAACACATACACATCTCTGTTAAGTACACGTTGATTGAGGAAGATAAAGATAATTACTGTGAAGGTGAGGATGAGAAATGAAACAGTTGCATGAAACTCTTTTCTTCTTAAAATAAATGAAAATGTTTCAAAAACTATTAAGTCTTATATCTTCATCTGATTACAGAAATGATTTATGATACTGGCTCTATTTATCAAATAGAGTCTGAAAAAAGAAATTTGGTACTAGTGTTCAGCTATATCATCTGTGTTTAATGTATGATGTATCCCTACAATTATGAGGGTAATCTTATCATTAAATAATAATAATAGCAATAATCATCGGTGTATAGTAATTTTTTAAAAAAAATCACACAAACAAGCAGAAAAACAGATTTCATTTTAGTGTTGTTGGAACGTTACCTTTTTAGTATTTATCTTTGGATTCTAAACTCAGAATTTTGTTCTCCAACTGACTCTCTTCACAGCAGACAGAATATGGTTAATTAGTAATTCTGTTAACTATTTGCCAAATGTAATGGAGGATGCCATTTCCAGTTTTTCCAGGGCATCTTGTTGGTCAGGAGTCCTTTGTTGAACAAACTGGACTTGCACGTTGGTTCTAAGCGTCAAACTAAACATACAAGAGAATGGCTAATCTGTGAATTCTTAAGGCTCCTTTCATCTCATTTTCCTCACATGATACCCTTTGCTCATTTCAGTTTTGGGTGTATTTCTTTCGATTGCTTGTTAATGTCTCCTATTTATAGTGATAGTATTATCTAATCTCTCAGATAGTATAGAATTGTCCTTTACCATCACCATAATTGTACAGATGGTGGAATATGCTTAGACTAGCTAGAAGCCTGCTCTTCAGGGCCTGTCACGTACTTAAATTTGCACTTTAAATTTTGTGTTCTTTTCCTTTAAAAAGATCTCCCCAATTTTATGAGTTTCGGGCTCCAAAAAACTTATCTGACCCTGCTTTTCATTTGTATTGAAATAATTTGTTTCTCACAATATTTTAGCTTTATGAGAATAAGAGTGATTTTTGTTGTTTCTCTACTGTGTGGCATTTATAAATGTTCAGTAAATGCTGGGTGAATGAATGAATAAGCCATGCACATTTAGTGGTTGCTTTGGGGCTGCCTCTGGCTAGTGAGATTTTCTTGATTTTCTTTTGCATTCATGCATTGTCCTTAATACCAACTTTGTTGCAAAGTTTTTTTAAAAAGTAACTTTATATAAATTATCTTGTTATTTATTCTTAAAAAGTTATAAGTATCTATTTTCAGAATTCTAAATTAAATTCCCATTACTGTCAATATGCACAATATTTTGCAAAAATGCAGTCTATCTTCACATGTTAATGTTCTTTCATTTCATTTTTTTAAATAAATTTCTTAGAATATTTTTCAAATAGGAATTGCTGAGAGAAGGTATATTTGGCCAGCTCTGTAGATTCGAAGGGTGCTTCAAAAATTAAGCCTAGTCAAAAATGTTATGGGACATGATTGCAGTTATTTTAATCTATCATTTAATATAAGATATCCATTTTAAACTCCAAAATATCCTTTAGTTCTAAAATAATGATATGTTTGATAACATGTAGCTATTTTATACTAAGCCCTTACAGTGTCTCATATCCTGGAGATAAAGTACCCTTTTTGAAAGACACCCTTTTCTGAATTTTGCTGTTTCCTGCTTGTTGAGCAGTGGCCCCTCCTGGGAAAGCAGAGTTATTTCAGCCATTTAGACTCCATTTTACATTAGACTCTGTGGAATATTATAGTGCTATTCAGATATATTTATCTTTTCTTTGATTTCAGTGTTTTTATGGCCCAGTAAAACGTGTATTTGTTTGTTGAGGGATTATCATATTTGGACACCAAACTTTTTCAAAATAAATAATGATAGCAATACTGTTAATACATCTTTTAACGATTAAACCCACCCATCAGAGTTTGGTTCTTATTACAATGCAAATCAAATGAGAATAAAATTATTATTTTAGAATGGTTTTAAAATACATGTATTTTTGCCCTCCTTCCCACATACAAGGAGGCACTCCAGATTCCACCTTTATTTAAATTGTGGCAATTCGAAAACATATTGAGAAGGCTGTATGTAGGTAAGGGTTCAGTTAACATTAACCCCAGAGAACAGAAAATCGGGGACAAGTCCCTTTTAACTAGGAGTAATACATTTCATATATGGATTGTTCATGTTCACCTCTTCCTGACCACAACGGAAGTCCATCATTGTAAAGTAATATTCGAAGTTAGCCACAGCTGTGACATGAGAACGCTTTCTTTACATGATTCTGGATCATTCCGTGGTGTCGATCCCTCTAAAGGAGCAGAGTGGCCTTTAACTGTTGTCCTTTGCAGCCGGGTGCTAATGTTTTCTGGGTTTCACTGCTCTTTGGAATTCTCCACCAGAGGGAGGACAAGGGAAGGAGAAACAGGTTTCACCCGCAGTTCTGAGGGAAGTTTGAATCCGAGAAAGCGAGCGTTCATGAATTCAAGAGCTCGAGCGCAGGCTCTGGCACTCTCCCTCTCCCTCCATGCCTTCTCATTCAGCGGCACTAAGGGACGCCCAGCTAGAGCAGTCGTTTTATTGTTGATCGCCTTTTAACCAGGGTTTTACAGTTCCTTTCAAACGAAGCTGTAGCGAGAGAGAGAGAAAGAGAGAGAGTTTAGGACACCTTCTAGGAAGAAGTCATGTTCTTATTTATTTTAGGAAAAGGCGAAAATGAGAATTCTGACAGGCATGTTGTGAAACCTGTGAAGGCAGGATACACACATACATTCAGGGAGCACATCTACGAAGGTGGTGCGATCTGACCACTCTTAAGGTTCACTGAGCCCTTCCTGTGTACCCAGGACCGTCTTAAAGTCCCTTCCACCCAGACTTTATCTTTGCACTACGTGTGTGTGTGTGATTTTCACTAAGGTAAGAAAGGAATGAACCCCAAACTCTCCTGGGGAAACAGCAAACGTTACTCTCCCTCCCAAAGGTTCCAGAGCCTTCACTTACGGGGCAGGTGTCAGAATCCCAAACTTTTTTCTCCAACATTTATCCGCATTAAAGGGAACGGAACGGCCGTTCCGGACGCTTCCTGGCCGCGGTGGAGAGCTAGGAGCTCGAGCCCCTGGGTCTCTTATTGGGCCTTCAGTCTCCCCGGGCCGCTCGGTTCGGTTCCCGCGGTGGCGGTGGCTGCGGCATCTCCGAGCAGGTTCCAGCGACCTCTGTCGGGGGTTCCCTGCAGCCGCTCAGCGCGCCGCCGCCCCCCCGCCCACCAGCCAGCCGGGCCGGGCTCGGGGAGCGAAAGGGGCTGCGCCCGGGAGCGCAGAGCCCAGGCTCCTCCCGGTGGCGTGTCCGCGCCTCGGGGTGGGGGTGTGGTGGGGATGAGGGAGGGGGCGAGGCAAGGGGAGGGTGAGAAGGAGGCGCCAGCCTCCAACCTGCGGGCGGGAGGTGGGTGGCTGTAGGGCAATTGAAAAAGAGCCGACGAGGAGTTCCCCAAAACTTGTCGGAACTCCGGGCTCGCGCAGAGGGCAGTAGCGGAGCGGCGGTGTCTGCCTGGGCGATGGGAGTGCGGGAAGGACCGTGAACGCCTCTTCCTCCTCGGGCTGCAAGCACGCCGGACAGAGGCCAGGACGGGAGCCGACAGCGGCGGGTCCCAAGGACTTCCCTGGGCGACAGGACCAGCCCCCAGAGCGAAGGCGACCGCCTGACTGAGCGACCGACCGACCGCTAGTCCCAGGTGGCAGGGACCGCACGCCGCGTCCGAGCAGCTCCCCGCAGGCGACAGGAGACGCCCCCGCGCAGGCGAGCGCGCAGCTGGGTCGCTCTCTCCCTCCAGGGAGAAACTTCCCAAACCCGATCCAAGCCCTGGGACCAAACTTGCGGCGCATTGCCTTCCGTGTAGAGCGTGCACTCGTAGAGCGAGATGTCCGAGCGCAAAGAAGGCAGAGCGAAGGGCAAGGGCAAGAAGAAGGACCGAGGCTCCGGCAAGAAGTCCTCGGCGGGCGGCCCGAGCCCAGGTAAGCGCGCCGCGCGGCCGGGACTCCGCGATCCTCCTCCTCCTCCTCCTCCGGTGCCGTCGCTTCTCCCTCGCCTGCCCGCGCCCTGCGCTCCGGGCGCCTGGCCCTGATCCCGGGCGTCCGCGGAGTCGGGCGGTTCTCGCCCTCCATGGTGCCGCCCCTCACCTGGGCGCCCAGCCGCACCTGGGCGCCCGTACCCCACGCGCAAGGCGAGGGGCAGGAGCCCTGGTGCGCGCCCTCGGAGGGTCCAGGAGGCTCAGCGCTCCCAGGCACGGCCTTGACCAGAGCCTCAACTGAGCCCAGCCGGAGAGCGGGACCCGGGGTGCGGGAGCGGAGGCTGGTGCGCGCGTGTCCAGGGCCAGAAGGGCTTTGCACGGGTCCCGTCTGCCCTCTAGCGAGAGAAGCAGGAAAGGTTCTCCCCACTGTGTGCCTGGCTCGCAAGAACCCGGCCGGTGGGGAGAGAGGCCTCAAGAGCGGTTGCGCATCGGTGCTTTGGGCAGAGGGGCGGGCGGTGTAGGGTCGCGGAGCGTGCGTATGTGCACCCTGATTCAGTCCTGCGGTGTGAAAACTCGGGATCAGCTGAGAGAGATTCCTATATAGGTCAGCGAAGCAGATAAAATCTAGCCCAGTGCCAGGAGTCAGGTCTGTTTCAAGTAAGTTCACAAACTTTTAGCTTAGCAGATTTATTTTTCAGGACCTCCTTGATAAATATGGTCCATTTATGTTCCCAAGAGGGTCCAAAAAGCAGAAGTTTATCTGAATTTTTGAATCCAGTTGTTTGCTGGTTATATAATATAATGAAATGGAAGTTGAGGCTTTCTAGACAAATCTTGTATTTGATAGTCAACAGGAAAATGAATGAGTTTCCCTTAGATTTCCCTAAGAAGAGCCGATGCTTTCACCATTGTCTTCGACGCAGGAGGCCTCCCAAACAAATAGTTGTTTATGAGTGATTGCGTGAAGAAGATGCTTTGAAAAGGAGAGAAAGAAGGGGACTATATAGAATATAAGGGCTTTTTTTCCCTGCCGTAAGTCACTTAAAGAATCCCTCAGCACTTTTTGCACAGCACTTCTGAAGAATTAATTGAGTAGCACTTGGTAATATTTTGGCAGAAGAAAATAAGTAGATGTATTTACCTGTTCCTTGCTGGAAGAAAACAGAATTTGCCTAGTCTTCTTATTGGCATCACTGATAGCATTTCAGAACCTGGCTTGTTGGCAAAGACCTTATTAAGCAGGTTTTGATCATAACAGAAATCGAACAGAGAGTAACTGGCCACTGACCATTCCCGGGCATGCTCCTATAATAAGATACTGCTGATAAGGTTCACCTAATTACCTTCCATTAGCCCTCATGAGGGTATACTGAATTTTTTCTTACTTTTACCCTATGTTTTAGAGATATCATAGAGCACTTGATTCAACAAGGTATAAATGGGGAGCTGAATTAGTAACCTCCCTAAGTGCCTTTCTCTTATTGTCCTTTGGAACATCATCATAGTAAATTAAAGAAACCTTAGACCTTAACCAAAACTATAAAGTTGTAAAGAGTTATTTGTGGGGCCTTTTAGGTGTTCTTCTGTCCTGCCCGTGAATACTCTGCCTTCAGAAGTTCCTGTGGTCCTCTGTAGGTGGTCTGGTGAATGAAGGAAGGGGCAGTGGTTTGGAGTAGCATCTCTTTCAGGTAACAGGTTGTTTGCATTTTGTCAAGGGTTCCTAGCAGCAATGCCTTCACACAATTACAGGTAGACAGGTAGTTCCGCGGGGGGAGACTTAAGAGCAAGCAGGCATTTCTGTGACCGGCAGATCATATCTACTAGGTAGGCAGCTGTGTTGTGACTACCCGATATTCTCTCTTGACACAGGTTTGAGAGCTTCCTTGGTGGCTCCCTCTCATTCTGCTTTCCTGTCCCACAGCTGTGACTATCTCTAAACCAGATAGATTGGCATTCTGTGTATGTGACAGTCTCTCTACCACCTTCTCAGAAAAATTGGGGTGGAAATGACTGTAGGTTAATTTTTAGTATATTTGTCTCTTTTTTCCATTAGGTCAGAATTTTCTTTGGGGAGGAAATTTTTACCCCGTCCATGGCACCTTGTGCTTGTTAAACCATATAAACCATATAAGAATGTTTATTCTTTATTTGATTCAAAAACAAAGGTCAACTTGAAAATAGCTTTATACAAAAGCACAGGGCATTAAATAGTATTGCTTTGTGTTTCTCTCCTTCTTGTCATTTTCCTTACATAATGGTAAATGCCGATGTGTTTTTCCTTATCTCAGGAGAAGGAATAACTGATAGCCATAATGGTTTGTGGGAGAAACCCACACCTCTTTTTCACCCTTTTTTGCATGCTTTAGTTCTCAGACATCCTCAAAGGAACGACCTCGAGATGCCATAACTAGTATGGCCACTTGCTGTGCCAGCCCCAATGAGGACTTTTGGGGACACCCACCTCTTGACTAGTTCCAGTTTAGTGCCCTGCAATCCCAAATTTCACCCCTTTCTTAAAACAGCCACTGAAACTTTGTCTTAGATGATACATATGCAACAGCTGAGCCTCTCTTTGGATGTCATAACATGACTTCGCGACAGTCGGGGGAGATACAGTGCTGCGAAAACTCAGGCTCTTAGCCTCGCTGTATGCTGTATTATATGCAGAGGCATAAACACATCTGTTGGAGGGAAATTTTCAGGGGAAAAAGACTTATTTAACTTTCATGTGCCATGTGTGACTGATATGTGATACATACATGGCTATATTTCATAGCATCTGCATTATTATACAATTAACTGAATATTGAATTGCACACTATTAGAGCTGCAGATGTTCAACAGAATTATCTATTCCAAAATAATGGCTCTAATAGGTTCCAAGCCCTTGGAATCATTGATTCCTCTTCTTTGCCCAAAATACACAACCTCAGCATAATCCTGGGCTTTGTAACACAGATCCATGGGGTCCTGTAATACCCAGGGCCTCCTCGGCGCTGGACCTCCCATATTCCAGGCTCATATTGATTCAGTTCCTATTGAAGCCTGAATTACAAAACCAGAGCTTGTTTTTGTTTTTTTCTTTTTTCTTCTTTTTCCTTTTTGGTATTTGGCTTTAAGCTTCCTTTATGAAACTTTGTTTGCTGATGTTTTTCTTTCATGAAATCACTGTAAAACAAAATTTTTTTTCCCTGTTTTAAATGACCTGGAACAAATTCGTTATCAAGCCTAGCCAAGTTTTAGAACTGTTGGGCCTCCTTTCCCTCCCGGCAGAATGGGCATTTGTGAGCACAAGTCGTGGAAAAATTGAGAAACTCAGTGTCCCAAATGGGTTGAAGCAGGGCCCCATGTTCCCCAATGACATCACCTACCTGTTTTGTTAACTTAGTGGCTTTTCAGGCTGAAGTGCTTGTAAACATTCTTGGATATGAAGTGTCCTGTCACTAACAGGGCATGTGTGTGTTTACAGAATGGAAGGAATGTCCAGTGATCTGTTTCAACCTGGTTCCTTATAACCACTTAACCTTATGTAATTCTTAAAAACATTGAGTGGTATTTATAGAACGAAATAGGATTTATTTTGAAGAATTCTTTTGAAGCAAAAGGAGTGGGAGAAACTCAGTATATTATTCTTGTATCTGCAAAATGATCAAATTATAGTGATGGGAGAATGGGGGAGAAAACCAACATAGATGTAATCAGAAAATACTGAACCAGTGTGAGAACAGTGACCACCGCAGTCCAGGCCAGGCACTGTGCTTGACACTTTCAGATTTACTAATCAGGGAACTACTGTTTATCAAATGTCTTATTGTGTTCCAGGCAGTATAACAGATGCTTTGTGTATTTTAAAAGATTTATGCTTTTTATTTTTTAAATTAGAAAATAGTTTGTCTCCTCTATTTGCTACATCTTATTTTATTATCTGTGAAAGATATCTTCCTTTTCCTACCATCAATTATGTGAGTTATCTTGATTCTTCTTTATAATAATATTTTCACATGCATCTTGTATTTTGACTTTATCCTGCTTTATAGATGCAGGAACTGAAATATTAAGTAACCCTCATATGAAAAAGGGCAATGGGAAATGCATTTCATTCTTTTTTGTTTTTTTCAATGACAGTTGACATTGCTTTGTGTGTTTCATCACCTGTCCGTTAGCAAGGAAAATGCCTCACTTAGACAGCAAGAGGAGGTATATCTCCACAGCCAGGTTGCCCAGGTTTAAATCCTAGTTCCCCTGCTCCTTGACTGTAGAGTCATGGGAAGGTTACTTAATCCCTCCATGCCTGAGTTTCCTTATTTGTAAAATTGAGATAATAAAATTATTATTATCATGAAGTTATTATGAGGCTAAAGCAAGATAATCCATGGAAGCCTTCTGAACATTGCCCACCCTGTAATAAGTGCCCAATAAATGTTAGCTCTGTTTATAAAATTACTTGAGTAACAAATTGTCTGTGTCTTTGCAATGATATTTGATGTAAATTTCAAAATTTACCTTTTATGGTAAAAAAAATAACCCAAAGCTGGCCATAGATTAGAGTGAGTATAAATATTAATATCTATTACCTGTAAATATAGAGAAAAGTGGATAAGTATGTCAAATACCATAACTGCATATATATGTAATGGAAACAGTCCTGAATTCAGTCTAAATATTGAAAGTAGGGTGAGGTGCAGCATAATTTTATCTCTGGTAGAAAAATGTTGAAATTTCAAGCTATGAGGAGATTTTGAAACATGACCCCTTTTCTGGCAACGCTGAAGAGTTGGTGCTTAAACCCCACTTTATTATATAGAATTCATAATCTTCTCTGTTGGGACCAGTACAAATTGCAGCAATTGAAAAGGAAAGCGTGTATTAACATGCTCTTTGTTATCTTTTTATCAAGTGTAACTGTATATTGCCAGTGAGGCTCATAGAATTGAGTGCAGGTGTTTCTAAATCTAAACAAAATAATGAATATAATAAATCCACATTTCTTACTATTTTCTTTCC